ATAGTTGGACTAAAAGACCTTCAAGGTCCCTTTCTATTCTATTCTATTCTATTCTATTCTATTCTATTCTATTCTATTCTATTCTATTCTATTCTATTCTACTCTACTCCATTCTACTCTACTCTACTCTACTCTATTCATTAATGTAGGGGTTTGAGACTTGGCTCTGAACAACGGGGCTAGCTCCAATTCCTGTCTCAGCTTCTGCCCATCTACACAGTTTGAAAGCACGCAAATGCAAGTAGATAAATAGGTACCATTTTGGTGGGAAAGTAATGGTTTTCTGTGTGTCTCGGCATGTACTCACGCCGGCCACATGACCACGGAAATTGTTTTTCAGACAACACTGGCTCCCTCGAGAAATGGGCACTGTGCCCTAGATGCCAACACAACTGACAGGGAAACCTTCCCTTTTTTTAAAAAAAAAACAACACCCCGTAAACTATAGTTGTCATCCTGACAGATTTGTATCAAGGGAAGGGTGTCCATCTGCAGAATGGGATTAAAAGTTTGCGTGCTCTCTGTTGCAATCTCAGTCTTGATTTTGATGCACTTACAAAACAAGTAGGGCTTGGATCACGATGCGCAACATCTTGCAGATTTTGACTTCTCGTGCAGAAACCATTGAGAATGGCTACTTTTATTAGTAGGGGGGATTAAAAAAGATGGATAAAAGGTGCTTTGGAGAAGGCATCATGTCTACTGTGTTGTGGCCCGCCAGCAGTCAGTGGAGTTGACAGCAGAGTTGGATAGCGAGGAGATTAGGGAGGAACATAGGCCAGTCCTGGAGTCTGGGGAAGGTTCGGATGGGAGCTCTGCTTCGGAGGCAGAGAGGTGGCCGAGGCTGTCTGGCAGTGATCAGCTGCCTTCGGAGATAGGCAGCAGTAAGGCAGAGGAACAGCTGGAGCCTGTTCTCAGTGTGCACGTGCACAGAGCTTCCAGAAGAAAAGAACAGCTAAGAAATCAAGGTTGACTTAGGAGTAAAGTCACAGGTGGATGTGAATGGCCCCTCCCATAAGAAATAAAAGAGGAGCGAAAGGGGAGTGGGCTTTTGCAGGAAACAATTCGTCCGTCTGTTATTTCGTTTCAGGAGTGTGAAGATCTGTCCGTGAATCTCAGAGACTCTCTGCCCAGTCTTTCCTTGCACAGCACCTCATTTG